GCATCTTGTACAGCAATTAACCACTAGGAAGAATGTATGCAACGTGTTAATTATTGAAACTGTCCTACCAATTTGATTTGAAACTGTCTCGCTGCTATTTATCAATAAAATTATGGAAAAAATATTAAGATAATTTATTTCAGTAATAGACACATTGCCATGAATCCCCTCCCCCTCTTCCCTGCCATACATCCCTCATTTCAAACTCACTTAACCCATTATTCTTGCCTCTTTCTGAAGCAGGGAGTGCTCTTTCATGAATGTCAGTCAGGCATGGTCTAAAAAAAGTGAATGCTGCTTCTGAGTGGAAAGACAGGTTCACAAAAACATTAGAGTGTATTCTCATCCACTTTTATTTGCCTATTCTCCAAGGTCAAAATGACCGTGAAAATGACCATAAAAGGTAAATATTATGAATGGATTCATAATCTTGAGGCAGCCAAAATTGTGCAACTAAATATGTTCTCCCAAAAGGACTTTTAGGCTGGGAAGGTACCTCCATAGCAAAAGCACCTGCCTTGCAAGAGCAAAGTCCTGAGTTCAATCCATGGTACCTTATGCCTTGCCAGCCCTAGAACCCTGGGCATGCTGGGCTAGCCCCAAAACCAAGTGTGGCAGGTGCACACCTGTAATTCCAGCTCTAGGGAGGGTGAAATATTAGGATCACTATGAGTCTGAACTGTGCAGCAAGACCCTATATCGAAAATTTTAGAAGTAATAATAATTAAAAAAAGGATTTTCAGAAGTGCTGCACAAAGTACTAAGAGTGATAAGTGTTATCAATTTAGGGGTAGGAGGCCCTTGAAGCAAGTTAATGGCAACATGTATGTTACTGTAATACGTTTTTAAAGATTTCAAAACATAATCAGCTTTTCAGGTCACACTTCATATAGATTAGAGACACATGAAAAATGCTTGACAATATTATTTATTGGAGAAAGGAACACTGAAGCCACAATGCCGAATTAGTACACTCCTATTTCAAAGATTTAATCCAAAAGACAGACAATATCCAATGTTCATAGTATATGGAAAAGCCGGCCAAATAGCTCAGGGGACTAAAGCACCTGCAAGCAGGCGCAAGGGCCAGGGTTTCAATCCCCAGGTCTGCTTGTTGGCCCCGCCCCCAGAATGCACTGAAATGGCAATTGAGACTGGGCCATGGTGGTACATGCCTGTAATCCCAGCTCTTGGGAGGTTGTAAATAGGAGGATCACTATGAGTTCAATCTAGTAGTGAGACCCTGAACACCCTGTAGACCCTTCCCTAAAAAAAATACAAAAAAAAAAAAAAAAAAAGAACAGAACAGAGTATATAAAAAAATTGGAACACTATACATATTGCTAATGTACAATGCAGATTGTACAGAAATAATGTGGCAGTATCTTAAAAAATGAAATATTAACTTACCCTGTAACTTATCTTTTACTCCTAAGAATTTACCCAAGAGAAAGAAAAATACATCCCAAATGTGAATATTCACAAAATAATAATTCAAAAAAACCAAGTGTATAAAATCCAAATACGTATCAAATGGTGACTGCAGAAACATTCAGATATAATCATTAATAACCTGATAAATACTTTAAAATGATGAGTATAACTGAAATAGTCTTAATATAAATGCCTACATATTTTGTTTCTACTTGCAGGAAATGTAATTTTTAAAAAAACTCACAAATTTAGAAAGAGCAATAGAGCATTAGTTTCTAATGGCTGGGGGCAAAAGAAAGATGAAGTAAAACTAGACATGAAGGAATTTTTGAGAGTGAAGAAAGTATTCTAAAACCACACCACACATGGAAATCAAACAACACCCTTCTGCACAACCACTGTGTCACAGAGGAAATTAAAGATGAATTTAAAAAGCATACACAATTAAATAATAATGTCGATATAACATACCAAAACCTATAGAATACAATGAAAGCAGTCCAAGGAACATTTAAAAGCAAAAAACCCTCACATCAGGAAAACAGAACAAGCTCAAGTAAACAACCTAATGCTGAATCTCAAGCTTCTAGAAAAAGAAGAACAAGCCAAACTCAAACTCATAAGAGAAAGAAAATTATGAACAGAGAAATTAATGCAACTGAGACTAAGAAAACAATACAAAGAATTAATGAATTAAAATTAATTAATGAATTTGAAAGGATAAATAAAATTGACAAATGATCTGAAAACCTCATCAAAAAGAAAAAAGAAAAATTCAAGCAAGTAGAAATCAAAGGGGAGAAATGACGACAATCCCACAGAAATCCAGAACATTTGAATACCTAAACCAAAAACCTATATTCTAATAAGATAGAAAACACAGAAGAAGTGGACAGATTCCTAGACAAAATCAAATTACCAAAACTAAATCAAGAAGATATTAAATTTTAAATAACCTAATATCAGCCAATGAAATTGAAACTGTAATTTAAAAAGTACCAATACTGGAGGCCCATACCCTAGTAGATACACTGTTCAATTCTACAAGAAAGTAAAAGAAGTAATGCTGACATACTAAGGAAATTGAAAGAGAAGCAGTATTTCCAAAATCATTCCTAGAAGCAAGTATTTCCCTTATTCCAAAATTAGAAAAATAAAACAAGAAAGCTAGAGGCACATCTCCCTAATGAACATAGATGTAAAAATCCCCAATAAGATACTGGCAAAGAGAATGCAGTAAATCTTTAAGAAGATTATACATGACCAAGATGGATTTGTCCCAAGGATGCAGGGATGGTTGGACATAAGCAAATCAGTAAATATATTACACTATATTAACAAAGCCAAACATGACAATCACATGATAATATCAATAGATGTAGAAAAAATATTTGACAAAGTCCAGCACACATTCACGATTTTAAAAAAGCTACAGAAAAGAAGAGGAGATGGTTTCAATCTCAATATGTGATATATGCCATCTATGACAAACCAACAGCTAACATCACACTAAATGATCAAAAACTGAAAGTTTTCACTCTAAAATCAGAATCAAGACAAAACTTTCCACTATCACCACTTCTACTCAACATAATTCTAGAAACATTGAACAGAGAAGTTAGACAAGAGAAAGAAATAAAAGGATTAAGGATAGGAAAGAAAGAAGTTAAATTAGTATTATTTTCAGATGACATGATAGGGCTGGGGAGATAGCTCAGCAGAATAAGTGCTTGCCTGGCAAATGCAGGGTCCTGAGTTCAATCCCCAGTACCGAAAAAAAAAAAAAACAGAAAGAAAGAAAAGAAAAAGAAATATTCCACTTTAGACTTTAGGGCCAGGGATATAGCTCAGTGGCACACTGCCTTCCTGGCAAGCACAAAAGTTGAGTTTGAATCCTGGTACCAAAAAAAAAAAAACCCAGATGACATGACACTCTACATAGGAGACCCAAAATCTCCACCAAAAGACCTCTAGACTTAATAACCAAATTAAGAAGTGTAGCTGAAAACAAAGTGAATGTTCAAAATTCAATAGCATTCCTCTATAAAAGAAACAAACTCACAGAGAGAGAAACTAGGGAAAGCACAGCCTTCACTTACATCCAAAAATTTGAAATACTTAGAGATAAATCTAACAAAGGAAGTAAAAGATCTATACATTGAATATTATAGTATTCTCTGAAAAAGGGGATGGAATAGGATTATCACAAAATGGAAAGGTATCCCTTAGTCATGGCTAGGAAGAACCAACATAGTGAAAATGGCCATATTCCAAAACTGCTATACAGATTTAATGCAATCCCAACCAAAATACCATTAGCATACCTCGCAGATCTAGAAAAAATACTCCTGAAATTCAATTGAAACCACAAAAGACCCAGAACAGGAAAAGCAACCCCACATAACAAAGGCAAGTTAGGGCACATAACAATCCCTGACTTCATATTATACTACAAGGTACTGTAATAAAATCAGCATAATACTAGAAATAAAAAAAAAGACCTGATGATCAACAGAACAGATTAGAAGATGTAATCATAACTACAAACACACTTAGCCACCTTATCTTTGACAAAGGACACAAACATGTCCACTGGAAGACAGACAATCTCTTTAGTAATGATGCTGGAAAAAAAATGGCTTTCTACATGTTGAAGACTAAAACTAGACCCATGCCTATCACTATAGCCAAAGCTAAAGTTAAATGAATCAAAGATCTAAACATGAAAACAGAAACACTAAATCTACTGGACAGAAAATAAGTAGTATTCTTGATGACATATTTAAGTGGAAACATTATAAACAAAACCCAGACTTCACAGGTGTCTCAGTTACTCTTCTCTCATTGCTGGGACAAATACCCAACACTCAAAATGAAGAAAGAAAAGGTTTGTTTAGCTCACAGTTACTGCAGGGTTCAGTCCATACTCAGCTGGCTCCAAGACAGCATGACACATGGCAGAGAGCCACCTTTCATGGCAGTGGCAAAGAGCAGAGAGTCAAAGGGGGAGTGGCAGCAGCTCGGGCAGCTAGCAAACCTCTTTTCCCTCATTACAATGTAATTCAAATTCCTGCCCCAGGGCACGTGCAGCATCAAAACCCATAATAATCATAATCTCCAGAAGCTGCCACATGACTGAATAAGGCTTTCAGGGAAAACTAGACAAAAACCATAACAATGGGAACCACACAAAGAATCAAAAATGAGATCTCATCTTATTAAAAAGCTTTTGCACATTAAAAGAAATCATCAATAGAATGAAAAAAGAACCAAAAGAGTGGAAAAAAATTATATCCAGTTGTCCCTTTATGCAACACATAAAGAACTGAAAAAAGTCAAATCCTACAAATTCAAAGACCAGATCCAAAAATGGGCATCTGGGGGCTGGGGAGATGGCTCAGTGGAATAAGCGCTTCCCTGGCAAGCGCAAGGGTCTGAGTTCAATCCCC